AGCAGGGCAGGAATGAAACAGATAGGGAATCTGAGGGTGGGTCGGGCCACAGTTCTGCAGCTGGTGGAGGGGCAGGTTCACAGAGGCCACATTTGAGCAGAGCCCTGCAGGGGTGGAGGAGGGGGCCATGCAGACATCAGGGAGAAGAGCCTTCCAGAAAGAAGGCAGAAGGAACAAAAGGGCAGAAAGGAAGGGTGCCAGTGGCTCAAGGAACAAGGAGATGAGTGTGGCTGGGGCAGAACCAGAGGGGTCAACAGTACAAGCTGAGTCCAGTCAGGTGACAGGGTGCCCACACACACAGTCTCTTGGTCACTGTGAGCTCCAGGGCTTTTGCCCTGAGGGACAGCGAGAGCCACTGAAAGTCATGTGATGTGGCAAAGGATCCCACTTGTTTGCTGTTTTCTCCTCGGTTGATTACCAATAAGTTGGGAGCAGAGACATTATATAGGTGTTCATTCATTCATTCACTCACTCACCCATTTATTCCTTTATTCAGCAAATGCCTGCTCAATACCTACTATATGCCAGGTGCTGGGAGCTCAGAAATGAGGAGCCCACCATCTAGTGGAAAAGGAAGAGAAGTAAATACAGATGTCAGAGCCTGTGATAGAAAAACCACAAACAGCCTCTGGTGCCCTCACCCCCTCCAGAAAGGGCAGCAGCGGTGGTTCCAAGTGGCTCCAAGCCCAGGATCTCAGGCTGATCCAGATATAGCTTCCCACGGTCCCACAGCCTAGAGCCAAAGGGTGCATTATCCTCACATGCCGATGTGCTAAGTAAGCACCGTGGATGGGAAAAGGGGACAGTAGCAGCACACTTCCCCCGTTGGACAGCGGAGGAGGGGAACAGCATTTACTGGTTGGTACCCAGTCCATGGGCCAGGGCCATTTCCAGGCTCCTGCTCCAGCTGGGGTTGGGTTGGGGTGGGGTAACCTTCCACAAGTCATTCTTCAGCCACCTGTGCTCTAAGGTCGGAGGTGGGGCCGCTGTGGCTCAGCTGGTTAAGCATCCTCCCATGCGCTGGTTCAGTTTCCCAGTCTTGCTGGCTTGAGCCCCAGTAGGGAACGTGCAGGAGGCAGCTGAGCAATGATTCTCTCCTGAATGTTTCTTTCTCTCCCCCTCTCAAAAAAAAAAAAAATCAATTTAAACATATTTTTAATAAATAAAAATGTTGGAGGTGGGGTGTTTCTTCATGGTCCTCCATGGCCATCCTTACCTAGGATTGGGGAGGAAAGGGGGCCTTTTTCCCAGATTCCTCTTCTGGGGGCCCCACTGCTTTGTGTTTAGTTCTGTCTTCATAGCCTCTTGCACAGTGACTGCGTGTACTAGACTTCCGGTGACTGTTTGTGAATAGCAGTGGGATGCCCATAGCATGCTGCCTGAGGACACCCAGGACAGGGGTCTAAATCAGGTTTCAGAGCATCAGGGCCCCTGGATTTGTGGCTCGGAGGACCCAAAGGATGGGACTGCAGCAGGCAGAGCAGGACAGGCAGCTGCTTTGGAGATCAGTAAGGAATTCACCTTGAGGTGCTGAGTTAGAGGTGCCCATGAGCATCCAAAGGCCTGGAAGTCTCCGGATCAAAGAACAGGGCCAGCGGGAAAGGAGAGTTGGAGAGCCGGAAGGAAACGAGCGGTGGTGTGGGCGTGTGAACTGGGGCTAGATATCCGAGGAAGAGGAGCACTGGACGGTGCCTGGCGAGAGGCCAGGAAGGCGCTGGATGAGAGGAAGTGACAGCCCTGCCGAGGTCACATCTCACCCTTCCTCAGAATTCCCTCTGCTCGGCAGACACAGGGCCAAGCGATGTTTCACTCCAAACCCTGGGGACGGCTGGGTCAAGGTGAAAGCAGGGCTCAGGCCTCTGGGAGGGGGTGGGCCTGGTGTTTCCATGGCACCCTTCATCACGAGCTGTCTCATAGGAGGGTTGGACCACTGAGGGCTATGGATCTGTGGGTGGGAGCAGCAGGGTTTCCTGACAGCATCTTTGAGGGTGTCTAGCTCAGTTTTAAGGCCTGAGAGGAACTTTTCTCGAGAGCCTTGGCCTGAGCAGCCGCTCTCCCACAACATTCTCTGTGGCCCCGAGGGAGCTGTGGATGAGGTGCTGGAGGGTAGCAGGCCGTGGGTGGGGCATCCGTCTCAGAAGCATTCCTTCCACTTCCACCACATACACGAATGGTGCTCAAGGACCTTCGTTGAATGAATGGGTGGATGAGTGAGTGAGAGAATTCAAGCATTTGTAACCCCAGAAGCTTGCCCCCGTGGCTGGAGGATGGAGGCTCGCTGTTGGTGTTTATGGGGTGATGGGTGGTGTGGGAAGAGTGCTCGGAGGTTTTCTAAGCCCACAGAGTGACCATACGTCCTAAATGAATAAATGTTATTTCCCACATTCACCCCGAGCTGAGGAGAAGGAAGGAAGTGAGTGGGGAGAGGTGGCATCCATTCTTTCCGGTGGGAAGGGCACAGAGGACCTCTCTCAGTCTCACTCTCAAGTTGGACAGCTTAGTCCTCCCAGCAATCCAGGGTTCCTGTCAGCACATTCTCTCTTCCTCCTTCCTTCCTTCCGTCTGTCTCTCCCGAAATGGATTTTGAGACCACATGGGCTCTGCTGTACCTGTCCAGCCAGCCCTTGGCCTACACCAACTCAGAATATCACAGAGCGACACCTGTGGCCCTTGTCACACCCTGAGCATCCATGTGCAGCTGGGGCTGGCTGGGCCGAGTGGCCGCAGGAAGACATCTCCCTCCTGGCCCTGACCTCAGGGAGCTCAGGGACCGGCTCTTAGGACCGGATGCAGCTGGAGGCGGGAGCACTTACAGAGTGGCACCCTGTAAGGAGATCAGTGCTCCCTGGAGCTTTCCGCATTCCTATCGTGGTGTTGAGAGCTGGGCACTCGGGAATATAGAGGCCCTGAGCTGCTGGTGGGTGTTCCCCAGCCTCACCCAATACATCGGTTCCCTGTCCCATAGGCCCAGCTGCTTCCTGGGACCCTCTCTCTAGGAACCAGGCCTGTGGCAGAGTCCCCCTGCAGGGGTTTGTGCATGGACTCTTCTCATCCGTCTTCCTGCTGCCTCTGCATGCCCCCAGCTCCAGCCCAAGCTGCTGGGCAGCTGAAAGGATTGGGGTCGGGAGGCACTCACAGCTGATGGTATTTCAAGGCATTCTGGGAACGCCTGGCCAGCAGTTTGGCTCAAAATAATGAGATGTCAGGGCTCCTCCATTCATGTCAGATGTGTTCTTCCCCAGTGTCTTTCCTGGGGGGACTTTGGGAGCACAGAGTAGGGTGTGGCTAAGAGGAGGGAGTCTGGGCCATGGCATCTGTGACCTATCACCGCCCGGCACTTAGCACCGAGGGCCCAGGAGGTCTGATGTGAGGCTGTTTCAGCAGCAAATGCAAGTCCCTGAGAAGATGCATCCTTGTCTGTGCACTTGACACCCAGCAGTCTGGCATTAGCCTGTGAGAGCCTGCTCGTCCCCACAAGTCGTTCTCTGTGAGGCAGCTTATCTAAGCCCTGGCTTTTACTGATCAGACCTAGCCCAGTGTCAGGCCCAAGTTCACCCCTAAGAGACTGTCAATCTGCTGGTAGCTTGGCAGCCTCCAGTCTCCTCGATGATTTCCTCAGGATACCACATCTTGGGGGTCCGGTGTGCCCCAGAGTCACTCTCTCCATATCCTACACACAGAAGTGGTCAAGAGTATGGGTTTCAGGCCCTAGCCGGTTTGGCTCAGTGGATAAAAGGTCAGCCTGTGGACCCAAGGGTACTGGGTTCAATTCCAGTGAAGGGCACATACCTGGTTGCAGACTCATCCCCAGCCCAGGCCCTGGTCTGGGCTTGTGGTAGGAGGCAACCAATCAATATGTGTTTCTCACATCAGTATTTCTCTCTTTCTCTCTCTCTAATAATCAATTAAAAAAAAATATCCTTGGGTGAGGATTAACAAACAAAAGAGTATGGTTTTCAGCTCTGGCTGGGTAGCTCAGTTGGTTAGAGCATCATCCTGATATACTAAGCTTGTGGGTCCTATCCCTAGTCAGGGCAGATGCAGTGAATGCATAAAAAAGAATAATAAATCACTGTCTCTCTCTCTCCTCCCTTCCTTCCATAAAGAAAAGAAAAAAAGAGTATAGGTTTCAAAATTAAAACAACTAGTTGGAATCAAGAACCAGTGACTTCATAGGTTTGACCTTGGTCTTTTTTTTTTTTTTTTTTTAATCCTTACCCAAGGATAAGTTTTCTTTTCTTTTAAAGAGAGAGGAAGGAAGAGAGAGCAAGAGAGAGAGAGAAAAAAATTGATGTGAAAGAGAAACATTGATTGGTTGCCTCCTGAACTTACTCTGTTTGGGGATCTAACACAAAACTTGGGTAGGTGTCCTGACTGGGAATTGAACCCACAACCCCTTGGTGCACGGGGTGATGCTCCAGCCCACACCAGCCAGGGCAGTCTTGTTTAAAAGTAGCCTTTACTGGTGAAACCGGTTTGGCTCAGTGCATAGAGCGTCGGTCTGCGGACTGAAAGGTCCCAGGTTCGATTCTGGTCAAGGGCATGTACCTTGGTTGCGGGCACATCCTCGGTGGTGGGGGTGCAGGAGGCAGCTGATCGATGGGTCTCACTTTCTATCCCTCTCTTTTCCTCTCTGTAAAAAAATCAATTATATATATTTATATATATTTTAAAATAGCCTTTACTTTTTTAAAAAGAGTAGTTTCAGATATGTGTGTGTGTGTGTTTTAAAGAAGTCTTAGGTTTACAAAATTGAGCAGGAAGTACAAAGGGTTCCCATAGATTCCCTGTCCCACACGTGCAAACACTGTTTTTGACTTCTTGAGCCTCCGTCTTCTCATCTGTACAGTGGGGGGGGGGGGGGGGGAATGACGGTTTTCCGCTCACGGAGCTGGGATCAGGGACACAGGAGGCCTTGCTGTGGGCTCCCGCCTGGCAGGGAGGGCACTGCCCATGGCTGCCGTGTTCGGGGGCCCCTCTGATGCCAACCTCCCTCTCAGGTGACAGGAACGCCTTCCAGAGGCTTCGATGAGAAGGCGTACCTGGCAGCCAAGCAGCTGAAGCCCGGAGAGGACCCCTACAGGCAGCACGCCTTCAACCAGCTGGAGAGCGACAAGCTGGCCTCCGACCGGCCCATCCGGGACACCCGGCACTACAGGTGTGGCCCCCGTTGTGCCCACGGGGAAAGAAGGTGGAGGGAAGGGCCCCCTCCGTTAGCTTGTTTTTCTTCAATGACATGCACGTAAGAAATGAGGAAGACTTCCTCAGACTCAGTCTCCTCACTGAGACATCAAACCCAACCCTCCCCCTCGACTCTGGACCTGACTCCTGTGATCCCAACGAGACCTTCCCCGCTGGGACAGGGGGCCCCTCAGCACCTCCATCTGAAGTCCCCGGGAAAGTGACCTGCCAGGGGGACCACCGCCAGGTGTTCCTGGTGCCCTGCTGGCGGTGCCCCCGGTGAAGACGGGCCGCAGCCCTGCCCACATTGTGCCAGCCATGCAGTGCTGTGCACGCTCCCCGGCATCTCTCTGCTTCCCCTCTTCCCGCCCCACTGCCCTCACCCCTTCAAACTCCCAGAAAAGCTTCCCAGTCTTGTTCTTAGTGCTCCCAGGGTGGCAGTGGGGAGAGACTTTCGACCTGGACCACGGGCACCTTCCACGGTAAATCCCAACTAACTCCGCCCAGTGTGAGTGACAGACCTTGGGCAAGTCATCAGCCTGCTCCTTGGTTCAGGCCCCTGTGTCCTGACTGGTTTACATGAGCCACCACCTCTGGCCTCTCCTCTTCCTGCCCTCACCCACAGGAACAGCTGAGCTCCGTACCCAAAGTGGGAGCCGCCATCTCCCCTCGGAGCCTCCGCTCCTTTCACTTAACGCTCCCCTCGCCCCAAACTTCCACCACCCTCCTCATCCTTATACTCTGTTCCCTCTCCTGAACCCCCTCCACGCGCATACACCTTCATGATTCCCCTCAGAGTCCTCTCTCCGGAAGGGTTTCAGCTCTCCAGGCTGGTAAGGGGCCTTCACTGCTCCCCATGCAGACGCCAGCAGAGCAGCACGGGGCTGTGGTAGCTGGCCCACCCATGTGTCGGCAGCTGTGGGTGGCTCTAGGGCCTTGTTGGACCCAGCTATGCACCCAGTCCTGGTGTGAGGGTGAGCGCGCACTGAGAAGTTCCTCTTGGGGATACACACATTTTAAAACGAGACTCTTCGAATCCAAGCTAGTGGTGGGTTGGTGAATTTCTCCTACCCCACCCCCACCCCCGTTCCCTCTCAAGGAGAATTATTCTGCAGCCTCTCAGGATTTCTCCCACGGGGGTGGGCTCCAGGCTGGTGGGCCTCCCGTCTGCTCTGCAAGAAACGGGCCTGGGAATTTGGCTGTAAGCGGCTGTCATTGGAATGAACGCCGTCATGAAAAAAATAGTCGCTGCTGGAATAGTCAGAGAGCAATTGTAATAAAGACGATTGCCGTGAACACCAGCGCCGCGGCCGCCTTCCCCAGGCCCCCGGAGGGTGAATAACGCCGTCGCCTTCGCAGGAAGAGATGAAGGCTGGCAGGAGTGGAGTGTTTGAGTGTTTTCGTTCCCTTTTCATGGTGGCGGGTGGGGGGAGGGGGAGCCAAGGGCCAAAAATGTGGTGTCGGGGGAGGGAGTGGGCTGGCGGGAACTGCCTTTGCTGTCTTCTCAGAGGAGAGGCAGGGGCGGAGGGGCAGGGGCAGGGGCGGAGGGGGCAGGGGCGGAGGGGCAGGGGCAGGGGCGGAGGGGCAGAGGCAGGGGCAGAGGGGCGGAGGGGCAGGGGCGGAGGGGCAGAGGCAGGGGCGGAGGGGCAGAGGCAGGGGCGGAGGGGCAGAGGCAGGGCAGAGGGGCAGAGGCAGGGGCGGAGAGGCAGAGGCAGAGGCAGGGGTGGAGGGGCAGAGGCAGGGGTAGGGCAGAGGCAGGGGCGGAGGGGCAGAGGCAGGGGCAGAGGCAGGGGTAGGGCAGAGGCAGGGGCGGAGGGGCAGAGGCAGGGCGGAGGGGCAGAGGCAGGGGCAGAGGCAGGGGTAGGGCAGAGGCAGGGCGGAGGGGCAGAGGCAGGGGTAGGGCAGAGGCAGGGGCGGAGAGGGAGGCAAAGCTGCCCCATGCCTGGTATCAGCAGCCAGTTGTTAGGATGGGCAGTGAGAGGGAGGCATTCACAGCATAGCAGGCCGGGGAGGGGGGGAGGGTGATTGCTCTCCAGATCCTACCAAATGTCATTGGTGTGTGTGGGGGGGGGGGGGGGGGTGTAAGAAGGAAGAAGCCACAGGGTGTCTGAGACAAAACAGAAGTCCCCCCCACCCCCCAGCTTTTGTCTCTTGGCTGCTCCATCTGCAGGGAGTTCTGTCTGTGGGTCCGGGCCTGGGGCAGTGCCTGCCCATGGCCGGAGCCCTGGTGAGGGCCCCCCACCCGTGGGGTCCTCCAAGGACTCCAGGCTGGATGGAATGTGGGTGGGAAGAGGCAAGACCCACATGCTGGCTGCAGGCTTTATTTCTCCCTCCCACAGAGGGGGGCAGCAGGCTGGACAAAGACAAGCCTCAGAACCTGCCCTGAGGACCCTCCCACAGCTGCCCTCTGACCTCTCTGCTCCCTTCCCAGTTGTCCGTCCCTGACCTACTCCTCGGACCTGCCGGCCACCAGCGTCATCATCACCTTCCACAACGAAGCCCGATCCACCCTGCTGCGCACCGTGAAGAGGTGAGCCCCCTCGGGACCATCTCAGCGGCCGTCCCCAGCCCCTGGCGGTCTGCTGGGGGGGGGGGGTAATTGAGATCAGGTGCTGTGGCCAGACAGGTGAAGACCAGCGGGCCCTGAGAGGGGGAGCCCTGCCTTCTGAGGAGCCAGGGCTGGTGAATCAGAGTAAGGGAGACCCCAGAGTCAGTTGTTAGCAAGGTACATAGTCCCAGACAAGGTCAGCTTCCTGGGAGGAGGGCAGGAATCCAGGGTCAGGAATGGGGAGAGGTAGGGCTGAACGTGAGGCCTCGGGCGGATGGTGCCAGCTCAGGAGGTGCCTGTCGGTGATTCGGAGAGCGTGGCCCTGTGGTCAGGTCTAACTCCTACTCACCCCGCTTCTTTAATGAGCTTAGATGAGAACAGGACTCCAAAAGGCACACCCTGTGGTATCCCAGGGGTAACAAAGGCTTGGGTTTCCTTTCCCAGGGAGGAGAGGAGGGTGGGGGGTGATGGGAGGGAAAGCGCCAGGGGCTTCCTGAAAACACTTCTCCTGCCTTCCGGGAAGGTAGCTCTGTCAAGGGGGGGGGGGGGGGGCAGGGCAGCCAGCCAGCGCAGCTGCAGGTCCTGCCCCAACCACCAAACTAGGGCAGTCCTCACCCCCCACCCGGTGGGTTCCAGGGGCCTGAGGGGCCAGACAGCGGGGCAGCTGGGCCCTTAGCAGAGCCTGAGGAACACGGTGTTGCTCATCCATTGATCAGGGCCCAAAGATTTGCAAGCCGCTGCCCTTGGCCAGTGGGGGGAAGGCAGCCCCATGGCAGGGAGCAGTAAACCGAAGTGACCCCTAAATCTGGGCTCCTCTGTCCCCGTCCCTGCTCCAGTGTCCTGAACCGAACTCCTGCCCACCTGATCCAGGAGATCATTCTAGTGGATGACTTCAGCTCAGATCGTAAGTACCCACCTTCTTTCGTTGCCCCCTCCAAACCCCCCTCTCCCCAGAATGCCGAGGCGAGCCCTCTGGAGCTTGTCCCGGCCACCACCTGCCGGCCTCTGCCCCACACTGGAGTCTTCAGTCTTTCCTGGGTTCCCTTCCCAGCTCTGCAAGGAGGGGAAAGAGTGGTGTTTCTGTGATGGGACACCCGTGAGGTGACATTTTTAAACATTTGAAGCATCAGCAGCCTCCTTCCTTATTACAACCGTCACAGGGAGAAGATTGACCTGTCAGTCTAGCTCCACAGACGTTAGACACGTGACCGTGCTGGCGCCCCTGGGGGTGAAGCCATAAGTACAGGCGGTCCTTAGTGTGGCCTGGGACACAGGGCCACTGGGGAGGACACTCCTCCATGCCTCCCGGCCCCAGCCCTTCCCCCGGGCCCGGGGCAGTTCCCGTGGTGGCCACACCACCTGTGATCTGAGTGAGCTTCCTCCTCTCCACCCTCAGCCGAAGACTGTCTGCTCCTGACCAGGATCCCCAAGGTCAAGTGCCTGCGCAACGACCGGAGGGAAGGTAAGTCCTTGGACCCTGGGTGCCCCCGCAGACCCATTTGGGCCTAGACCTCTGCACGCCCCACTCCCTTTGGGTGCTGTGTCATGCAAACCAGCATGGCCCTGTGCTTTCCTGTGGCGAGAACCAAAGTCTCCGGAAAGAGCCTCCTGTGCCTCAGGCCAGCCTCTCTCCCGGCATGACTGTAGGCAAGTTGGTCTGCTGGGAGACGGGGATAATAATAGTCCCCTTTCTGCCTTGCGCGGTGATGGTAAGATTAAATGAGAGAGGCTACATAGAAGTGCTTTGGGACAATCAAAGGGTGGGATAAAGCAGACGACCTCATTTCTAACTAAGAGGTGTTTGGGCATCAATGACAGCATAAGACTGCGCTCTCTAGGGGACGCAAAGGAAGTCTAAAACGTGGTCCCTGCGCTTGGAGAGCTTTACCCAGCCGAGGGTCAGCATTCACAGCACCAGGCTGGTTATAGTGATTCAGGTGGAGATCAGAGGAGAGGGTGCCGAAGGAAGTGGGGTGATCAGGGAGTGGTCCTTGATTGGGTGAGGGGCGCACGGTGAGACAGCGAGCAAAGGAGGGCTTTCCAGGCTCTGGGATGTTGCAGGCAGAAGCGAGGATTGAAGGTCGAAGGTCGAGGGTCAGGTGAAGCACACAGGGAATGCTAGCAGCCCTCCTCCGAGCACTCATCCTGCCGTAGGCGTTCATTCTTTCTGCTCTTTCATGGTCAGCCCTCACAAGAGCCCACAACCCCCCTTTTGTAGATAAGGGAACGGGAATTACCCAACCTCCTTTAGTTAGAAAGGAGGTTGGGTAATTTCCCCAGGGTGGGGAATAGAGGAGCCCAGATCTCAATCCAGGGAGGGGGCTCACCCCAAACCCCAGCCTCTTCCCCTCCTTCTGCTCACACTCCCTTCCCAGGAGCATCCGGGTCTGGTCAGCAGGGGAATGGGCGGAGTGACGGCAGATGACAGAGGACCTTAAGCCAGAAAAAGGCATTTAGACTTGATAAGGCAGGTGGTAGGGAGCCACTGATGGTAGGGGTGTGTGTGTGTGTGTCTGTGTGGGTGTGTGTGTGTGTGTGTGTGTGTGTGTGAGAGAGAGAGAGAGAGAGAGAGAGAGAGAGAGAGAGAGAAAGAGAGAGAGATGTGTTTATGTGATGGGCATATTTAAGAAAAACCAGTCAAGCTGAGGGGACCTTCATAGTGGAATGGACCTTGAGAGAGAAATCTCTGAGTATAGTAAGTTCTCAAATAATATGGTTTCATTATAACATTGATGGGTTGCTATAGGAACTCAATTCTTGCTTATGACAAAAAAAAACAAAACTGGTTTTGTTATATGTCATTTCACTTAAAGTCACAGAACCTAGGCACTGCATTAAGTGAGGATTTTCTATCCAGGGTAGCGAGGTGCCTTTAGGGTGGGAATATGCTATTCCCTGGGGTTTTGCCCAACATAGCTGTGAATTTACGTATTAAATTAAGGAGGTTTAAGTTCGGTGCTTTATAACTCTACCTCTGGATTAAAAGGGTGGGACAGAGGCCACACTCCCTCCAGCCTGTCCTAGCAGGGCCAGCTGGGCCTCCTCTCTCCTGACCAGGTAGTTCCCCACCCCTGACCGGGCCGTTGTCCGACTGTCGATGAGCCATGGGTGAGCCACGGGGGAAGGGGTGGACGCAGGGCAGAATCTAACACATGTAGGCCTCCTGGGCGCCGGGCACTCCGCCCGACAGGCAGGGATTGTGCTCTCTGAACCTCAAGGTGATAAGCTGAGGCTCAGAGCGGTTACACATGCGTAAGGTGAGTGAAGGAGCGCCTGCTAACTCCAGCCTGCCCTCCTGCAGAGGAGTCCCGGAGGGGGGGAAAGGCTTTGGTTTCTGGTTCTGCTTTGGTGTCACACCACACTGTACTGCAGTTCCCATCCCCCGAACTCTGACTGATCACCAGTGTGTCCCCGGAGCCCAGCACGGTGTCTAGCACACGGAGGCCATTCTGAGAATGGCCTTGGAGTAATGACGCTTCTTGGATGGACGAGAGAAAGCAAAAGAGAGGAAATAAACAAGCACAAAGTCAAGTTCAATTACGGTGACTCGGGAAGCTGCGGTCCCGAGGGTGGAGCGCCCTGACACTCTGTGGGGTGGCTGGGAAGCAGATGGGCTCAGCACCTCCCGTCCGTCTGTCCGTCCGCTTCCCCTGCAGGGCTGATCCGGTCCCGAGTGCGCGGGGCGGATGTGGCCGCGGCCACCGTCCTCACCTTCCTGGACAGCCACTGTGAGGTGAACGTTGAGTGGCTGCAGCCCCTGCTGCAGCGGGTGAAGGAGGTGAGTCGTCTGTCCCCGGGGAGCTCTGGCTCTGGGATGTGCCCCTCGGGTTCTTGGCCTGAGGGGGTGTGAACCGTCTTTGACGTTGGGCAGGCAGAGGAGGAGCCTAAATGGCCCGCTGCCTCCTGAGTGACCACCACATTAAGCTTCTCATCTGAAAATGGGGATAATTGTATTATCTGTCCCATCCCGTTGCTGTGAGAATTAAACGGGAGGAAAGCCTGAGTGAGCCATAAACGTATGACAGGAATGGGCATGGTTGACTTCCTCCTGGGGGGGTAGGGGCCTGCGCTGGGCCGGGTGGGGGTGGGCCGGGTTAGGCTGGGAAGCCGGAGAAAGAGGGAGGAGAGAGCAGCGTTCTCAAGGAGAGAACAGGGAGCCTCTCCTCTGTGCCTGCTGTTATGTAGAATGGGGAGGTTTTGGATGGGTGAGATGATTACAACTCAGCTATCAAAAGACAAGCAATCCCAATTTAAAAATGAACACAGGATTTGAATGGACATTTCTTCAAGGAAGATGCACAATGGCCAACACGCACATGAAAAGGTGTTCAGCATTCTTCAGTCATTAGGGAAACGCAAGTCCAACCCACAGGAGATACCTAATAGGATGGCTGTAATAAAGGAGATGGATAGTAGCACGTGCTGGTGAGGATGGGGACAAAAACAGCCACGCGTTGGTGGTGGGAATGTCAGGGTGGCCCCATGGAAACCAGTCCGGCAGATCCTCAGCAGTTTAAACAGGGTTACCAGATGGTCCACCAACTCCACTGCTAGACATAACCCAACAGGAACGAGAACATCGCCACAACAACTTGTGCCCGGTGTTCAGAGCAGTATTATTCAGAACAGGCAAAACATGGAAGCAACTGATGAATGGTGAACAGCATGTGGTATATCCATACAATGGAATCTTAGTCAGCCATACAAAAGAATGAGGTACTGATACATACTACAACATGGATGCACATTGAAAACCCGATTCTAAGTAAATGAAACTAGTCACTAAAGAACACACATTATATGATTGCATTTACGTGAAATAGCCAGAATAAACACACTCAGAAAAAGAAAGTGGGTTAGTGGTTGCCAGGGGCTAGAGGGCAGGTGTAGAGGGGAGTGACTGCTAATGGGTACGGGGCTTCTTGTGGGGGTGATAAAAATGTCCTGGAATTAGATAGTGGTTGCACTACCTTGTGACTATTCTAAAATCCTTGTGACTATACTGAGCGCTGGCTGGGTAGCTACACCCAGATACATCAAGGGTGTGGGTTCAATCCTTGGCCAGGGCACATGAAAGAATCAACCAATGAATTTATAAGTAAGTGGAGTAACAAATTGATATTTCTCTCTCCCCCTTTCTCTCTTTCTAAAAATCAATAAATAAAAATAAAATTTCACACTTTTAAATAATAAATTTGGGGAGAATCCAAGATGGCTGCACAGGTAAACACCTAGCCGCAGCTGCACACAACAATTTCAATAAAATACAACTAAAATATAAAATGGACATTACCCAGAACTACAGGAAAGTCGACTGACTGGAAATTCTACAACAAGAAGCAAGGAGAAAACCAGAAGGAAGAGCAGAGGAGCTGAAAAAGACTAAGGTACGGAGACACACGGCTCGCGCAGAGAGGACAGAGCGGGAGAGGAGAGGCGGCTGAGTGCCTGGCTGGCGTTCCCTAGCAGGAAGGAGATAAAAGCTCCGACTGAGAGAGGATCCAAGATGGCTGCTCGGGTAGACATCTAGCCGCGGCAGCACACAACAATTTCAATGGAATACAACTAAAATGTAGAGTGGACATTGCCCAGAGCTACAGGTAGTCGACTGACTGAAATTTCTACAACAAGAAGGAAAGAGAAAACCAGAAAGAAAATCAGAGGAGCTGAAAAAAAGCCTAAGGTACGGAGACATGCTGCGCGCGTGCCCGCCCGCACGCGCGCACGGAGAGGTCGCAGCCGGAGAGGAGGAGAGGGCGGGGAGCCGCCTTTCCTTCCCTAGCAGGAAGGGAATAAAACCCCCAGCCGGGGCTGAACCCCCGAACCGGCAGCGCTGAGCCCCCCCGAACCGGCAGCGCTGAGCCCCAGTTATGGGCCAGACCCTGGGGACCCAGGCTCCGGCGGGAGGAGACAGGGCCGTGAGGCGGAAAAACGGCGAAAGGCAGGGCCCCGGGAGTCGCGCGCAATGCGCGCAGAGGACTGAATGTTGACTCTGATGCTGGGTTGCCCTAGCCGGAAGAAACAAGGCCTCCTGCGGCGCTGAGCCTCAGTCCGGACTGCTCCGAACCCCAGTTCGGGGCCAATCCCTGGGGACCCAGGCTCAGGCAGAGGGAGACGGGGCTGTGAGGTGGAGTCCGGGAAGAGCGGCGAAAGGCCGGGCCCCCGGGACTCGCGCAAACTGCGCGCAGAGGACAGTCTGTGGGACTCGCGCAAACTGCGCGCAGAGGACAGTCTGTTGACTCTGATGTTGGACTTCCCTAGCGGGAAGGAGAAAAAAAAAAGCTCTAGGCTGGGGGAACGCGGAGGGGAGCGGAAGCCCCTGACGGACTCCAGCCAACCGGGCACCAGCAACAGGCTGAAGCAGCACAGGAGCCCGCGGAGAACAAAGGGGTGCCACAGGCCAACCTGCTGAGCTCCCAGGACAAGGAGGAAGAAACCAAAGAAGTTCTCAATGTGAAGAAATCAAGTGAGAGCAAAAAATAGTAAAATTACTTAAGAAAGAATACAAAAAAGATCTTGAAAAATCAAAGACTAAGTCAGAACTCAACTCACCAGCCAACATTGCAACATAAATGCGTTTTAAAAAGAAAAAAAAAGGACAGAATGCTGGAACAGCGACGGCCAGGCCTAGAGTGGCCAGGCACAAGGCAGTGGCAGCCAGACCCGGAGCAGCAACGGCCAGGCCCCAGAACAACAGCAGCCAGAACCAGAGCATCAACAGCCAGCACTGGAGTAGCCAGACCTGGGGCAGTGGCAGCCAGGCATGAGGCGGAGGCGGCCAAGCCCAGGGTGGCCAGTCCAGGAACACCCAGACCCGGAGTGGCCGGGCCCGAAGAAGCCGGGCCCAGAGCAGCCGGGGTGGGAGCAGCCAGACCCAGAACAGCAGTAGCCAAGCCCAGAGCATCCAGGTCGGGAGTGGCCAGGCTCGGAGCGGCCGGGCCCGGGGCAGCCGGGCCCAGAGCAGCCGGGTCAGGTGCGGCCAGGCCCGGAGCAGCAGCTGCCGGGCTGGGAGCGGACAGGCCCGGGGGAGCAGGCGGGTCGGGTGCGGCCAGGCCCGGAGCAGCGGCTGCCAGGCTGGGAGCGGCCAGGCCCGGGGGAGCAGGCGGGTCGGGTGCGGCCAGGCCCGGAGCAGCGGCTGCCAGGCTGGGAGCGGCCAGGCCCGGGGGAGCAGGCGGGTCGGCTGCAGCCAGGCCCGGAGCAGCAGCAGCCAAGTCCAGAGCAACTAGGTCAGGAGCGGCAGTGACCAGACCCGGAGCAGCTGGTTGTGGAATGAACTAGAGCAACAGAGGCCAGGCCCTGAGCAGCCAGGCCCAGAACAGCTTGCTCCTTGCCTGCCCCTGCCCCACGGCTGCTTCTCAGACATGGCTGGAAACTTTTGTGGGAACTTGAGGGTCTGCTGAATCAAGTGATGAAGGCTTAGATCTGGATGTGTTGAGTTAGTTTAGGACTGGGGTGTTGATCTGTGAGTGCCTTGGGTGGGGCCTGGATGAGGCTGGTTGACCTAGTGGGAAATGTCTTTTGTGTGAAGTGTATCATTGGGCATGTGGAGGTATTATTGATATGAGAAAATGCTAAGTAACTGATTTACTATTGGGGAAATTGAGGGAAGAAGAGACTGAACATAAACTGCACCTATGGATGAGGACAATGGGGGATGGGGGGGGGGACGGAGGGTGGGGTGGGAACCTGGTGGAGGGGGGAAGAAATGAGGAACCTTTGTAATAATATGAACAATAAAGATTGATTTAAAAAAAAAAAAAGTAAATAAATAATGAATTTTATGGTATATCAATTAGTATATCTAATAAAATTGCTATGAAAATGGGAATTGTACCTCAGTATATAAAAGTCTCTAAGAAGGATAAGCTGAGGCCCCACAGAGAAACCATGGATGGTTTCCCTGATCCTCCACCTCCCAGGCTTCTGTCGCCCTGAGACGGGGTGTGAACTGAGGGGCAGAGCTAGATTCCAAGTTTCAGACAAGAGGATTTTCAGGTCAATGCAGAGTGTGAGGAAGGAGAGGAAGAAGAGGCTCTGGCCCATGTCCCTCCACAGAGGGCTGATAGAGGGCGCTAAGTTTCACATGTGGTATATGACAATTCACCACCACCAGTACACCCCCTCCTCCCCCCCAATAAAAAGAACTTTAGCCTTGGCCAGTGATCTCAGTGGTTAGAGTGTTAGCCTTCGCACCAGAGGGTCGCAGGTTCCAGTCCCAGTCTCAGGTTGGGGTGCCTATGGGAAGCAACCAATCAATATGTCTATTACATAGACGTTTTTTCTCCCCACCTGCCTCCCCCACCCCCTTCCACTTTCCCTAAAATCAGTGGGGGAAATATCCTCACTCCTCGGGTGAGGATTTTTTTTTTTTTTAAACGGAACTTTAGTAAAATCAGCATTACCACCAATGTTTTGGAGGTGTTAAGGGAGTAGTAAGTCTGACCTTGAAGTGGATGCGGCCTGAAAGGAACCCAGGGAACTCCGGGTCCCTGCCCCCAAGCTGCTGGTGGCCCAGTTGGGAAGACCCAAGCCAAACGTGTACAAAGTGGAGACAATAATAAAACAACAGTTCAAACCAGCGACAAAAGAACTACCTCAGGCAGCATGTAACTCACTCTCCCGGGAATCGTCCATCCTGTAACTGTGAGAGCAGCTTTAAGGAGGAAGAAGCCCTCAGCCTGAAGCCATCAGGGAAAGCTTTGGTGAGGAGGTGAGGTTCCAGCGGGGCTCACCATGACGTGAGAGGAGGCTGGGAGAGCTTTGTGCCCATGGGCCCAGGTGGGACCTTCCAGGAGCTTGGATGCGACGATACAGGACCCCTCTCGGGAGCCTGCCCCATCCCTGCAGGAAATGCTGAGTGCATGGTCTTGGGCCTCGGAGAGACCTTCCTCCCAGAGCAGGCGGCTGGCCCTTTGTTCACAGAGTCCCTGGCCTCACACCGCCTCACCTTTTCTCTCCTAGGACCACACCCGCGTGGTGAGCCCCATCATTGACGTCATCAGCCTGGACAACTTTGCTTACCTTGCTGCATCCGCTGACCTTCGCGGAGGTGGGTCCTGCTCCCCAGGGAGGGGCTCTAGACCAGAAGCCAGGCAGGTGAGGGCAGGCCACGCGCTGGCTGGATGCTCCTCTTCCCAACTGTGCTGGAGGGTCTCTGGACACCCTCACTTCCAGAAAATGAAAAGGGATTGGGTTGAGCCCTGGGGTGGGGACAAGGGGCCCAGCCAACAGTGGCAGCCAAGCTAGTCTCTCCCTCCCCCCAAGCATTGACAGCCCAGGACCATGGCCAAGTCCTGGCAAATGGACACGATACGACAGCTGTTTTGCTGTGGGGGAGGAGGAACCCTCAACCTTGCGTGAATTCCTAACCCTGGAAGTGGTCTGGATCTGTGCTGTCTGATATGGTAGCCATAAGCCACACTGGGCTGTTGAGGTCTTGAAATAGGACTAGTCTGAATTCAGATGTGCAATAAGGATAACATACATACCAGGTTTTGAAGTGTTAGTATGAAAGAATGTAAAATATCTAATTAGAAACTTTTTATATTGATTACAAGTTGAAATGATAATACTTTGGGTATATTTTGTTTAAAATGTATTATGTAAATTAATTTAATATGTTCTTGTTGCTTTTTGATATGGCTAGGAAAATTTTAATGGCAACTGTGGCTTGCATTATATTTCTTTTGGACAGCTCTGCTCAAGACTTTAGAGCTGTATGGTTCAATACAATAGACAAAAGTCACATTTAGCTACTTAAATTTAGATTGATTAAATGTAAATAAAATCCAAAATCCAGCACTACCTGGTTTGGCTCCACGGATAGAGCATTGGCCTGCGGACTGAAGGGTCCCAAGTTCGATTCCAGCCAAGGGCACATGCCTGAGTTCCGGGCTTGATCCCCATAGGGGGCGTGCAGGAGGCGGCCAATCAATGATTCTCTCTCATCGATGTTTCTGTCTCTCCTTCTCCCTTTCCTTTCTAAAAATCAATAAAACCCCCTTAAGCATCTTTCCCTCCCTTAAGCATCTCTCAGGCAACAAAGGAGAGATTTAAAAAAAAAAAAAAAAAGGTCCGAAATCCAGTTTCTTAGTTGTACTGGACACACATGGCTGGTGTCCACCATATTGGACAGTGCAGATACGGAAGATGTCCATCATTGCCGAAAGTTCTATGGAACAGACTGTTCCAGAGAACCTATTGCTGGGAGCGCGTGGGCAGAGTGGATGGTATATTTGGGGCCCAGATTTCCAATAAGTAGACATAACCATTAATTTGATCCTGGGATTGAGTGGGATTCTCAAAGGAGCCAGGCGTTTCTCCTTTGGGACGTCACCTCTGGGCCTTTGCACTTACTGCCTGGAATTCCCTTTCCCCAGAAACCCGCATGGATCAGTCCTTCATTCAGGTCTATATTCAAATGTCACTTCCACAGAGGGCAACGTCTGACTGCCCTTAACCAGAATACTATGGGCACCCTTCCTTTATTTTATTTTTTTTAGCATTTTCCACTCCCAACTGACATATTATCCATTCATTGGTTGATCTTATAGTCTCCGTCCTGGTTGGAACTCTGCAGAGGCAGAGACCTGTCTCATTCTGAATGAAGGAATGACTGCACAAATGGCCCACGGCCTTTGAGCTGGGCTGGGATCCCCGGAGACTCTCAGGGGTGGCAGAGTGGGGGGCCAACAGCCACCGAAGGGCTCAGCCCTGAGCTCCATCCTCACCCTCCTCTGTCCCTTAGGATTCGACTGGAGCCTGCATTTCAAGTGGGAGCAGATTCCGCTGGAGCAGAAGATTGCCCGTACAGACCCCAACAAGCCCATAAGGTCAGGGCTGCTGGGAGCTCCAGAGAAAGCCTTCTTTCCCTGGGCCAGGGGCCGGGGAAGCTGCTGCGAGCCGTATCCTCACCGGGGCTTCTGGGGACATACAGTCTAAGTGCAGAATCTGTTCTGGGCCCCAGGGACTCTGCAAGCAGGGGATTCTGGGGCCAGTGGCCTGGGGCCCTGGGGCCACGTGCAGGGGCTTTCAGCTTCTTAAGCTCACGTGTAGCCTCTCTCATCCCCCAGGACGCCCGTCATAGCAGGAGGCATCTTCGTGATTGACAAGTCCTGGTTTAACCACCTGGGAAAGTATGATGCCCAGATGGACATCTGGGGGGGAGAGAACTTCGGTAAGTTGGGAAATGTTAACAGTATTAATAACGGGTAACTCTGAGCACTTTGTTTGTAAGGCCCTGTTCTAAGGACTTACTCCTCACAGTGACCCTCTGAGGGAAGTACTGTTATCCCCACTTTACTAATTTAAAAAACTGTGGCACAGAGAGGTTAAGTGGTTTGTTCAGAACCACAGCGAGTAAACAAAGAGAAGTAGGTAGTTAGGAGGAGCCTGTGGCCACATGGCTAGATATGTATGTGGGAGTTCATGCAGGCTGCATCATGGACCACAGCTTAAACACCCGTTGCTTCTCTCCCAGAAAGTCTGGGAGTGTGTTCAGTAGAGGGTACTGGTTAAATGTAAGCCTGGGTGCAAATCCTGGACATCTGATCACGCCGCTTACATTTAACCAGTACCCTGGGTTACTGGTTACTGGGTTACTGGGTGAACATCCTATCACTTACAAGCTTTCAGCCCTGGGCAAGTTAAAGTCTCCTTAAGCCTCAATTTCCTCAAGGGGCTGTACTGAGTAAGACGATGAGTTAAAATGCATGGCACCTCGGCAAGTGTGGCTCAATTGGTTGAGCATCATCTCGTGCACTGAGAGGTCGCTGGTTCCATTCCTGGTCAGGGCACATGCCTGGGTGTCAGGCTCGATCCCCAGTAGGGAGCATGCAGGAGGCAGCCGGTTGATGTTTCTCTCTCATCTATGTTTCTCTCTCACACACACTCTTTCTTCCTCTCTCTCTCTCTCTCTCTCTCTCTCTCTCTCTCTCTCTCTCTCTCTCTCTCCAAAATCAATAAAAATATTTAAAATAAATAAAATGCATGGCACAGTGCCGGTAGTCATTATCATTACTTATGAGTCTGTAGGAACTCTCTAACCCCAGAAGGAAAGGGAAGAACCAGTGACTTCCCAGGGTTGCTGGTGAGGTTCAGGTTAAAGGCCAGAGAAAGGTGGAACACCCAATGTGGATAATTTAAGAGGGTTATTAAACGACTAATGGCAAGATTTGAGCAAGAATGGGCTTTCTTTCCCCTGGCTGCTGGCACTGCCTTTGTTCTGGCCAGAGCAACTTTTCACTCTGGCTCGGAGCCACCTTTTGCCTTCCCACACTGCCCAGAGGCCAGGAGAGGCTGGATGGTGCAGAACGCCTGCATCCCACTCATCCCCGGCCATTTGGTGCCTGTGTATGCAAATTAACCCACCATCTTTGTTGGGTTACTTTGCATACTCACTTCTGATTAGCTGGTGGATGTCGTGAAGGTATTCAATTAGCATGTTACTCTTTTATTAGGTAGAGTGTGGGCAAGAGAGAGAGAACCACAGGAGCAGCTTAGTGTTGGGCAAGGCTGGTGACTGCACCTGAGGGTGTCACCACCCCATGTCTGAAAGATGGGGAGGAGCACCATCCAACAGGAATTGTGGTCTTGGGGCACCTGTAGTCAGCCCACAGCTCCCAGGTTGGGGAGAACACCCAACCTCATTCTCCCCCTTCTGATCTCCTGCTGGTGCCTCTGCTGGCTGAACCTGTGCCCCTCAGCTAGGAAGCCCAGTGGTGCAGCCCACACAGGCAGCTTCCTGGACTAGGAGCAGGTGGAGAAGGTGCCAAGGGGCCTTGCAGGTGTCCAAGAAGCGGGGCAGGTACTTTGAGGTTGTAAATAAGAGGCCTGTTCTTGCTCTTGCAGGGACCTGGTCCTTGGAAGCGCTTTTTCTCACTGCTCTCTTTTCCATCCTACCCAGGCTGCTTTCAAAGTAAATAGGGCTGGTGGTATCGCACCCATTTCACAGGTGAGAAAACTGAGGTGCACACTGCCTTCCCTATTCAGTCAGGAAACTCCATGTCTAGCAGGTGTGTGACACACCTAGACCAGAACCTCCTATGTGTTGGGAGGTGTGATCAGTCACAGTCTGTGTTTCTGAGACATGAGGTGCAGGTTTTCCTTCTCTCTGCCTAATCAGGAAACAGATGAGCAGTGGGGTTTAAAACAGGCCTGATCCCTCCCGGCCGTGGCTCAGTGGTTGAGTGCTGACCTATGAACCAGGAGGTTGGATTCAGTTCTGGGCACATGCCCGAGTTGTAGGCTCTGATCCCCAGTGTGGGGTATGCAGAAGGCAGCCAATCAATGATTCTCTTTCCCTCTCCCTTTCTCTCTGAAATCAGTAAGAATATATTAAAACAACAAAAATCCAGGCCCAATTCTAAACCAAAACCAGGAAAACCAGGAGCATTTTCACTTAGGAACGGGGTGCGGTGAGCCTTGCATTCTGGCCTTTCATGTGTGTGGGCCTGAGTGACCTCCTTGTGTCCTGGGTCTCAGCCTGAAGGGAGCTTTGGCAAAGCCAGTTTCCCATAAGGACTTACAGACTGAGAAGCAAGGGTTGAAGGGTCGCTCCTGCATCCAGAGGCCTTCCTTCTTTTCTTTCTTTCTTTATTTTTTTCTTTCTTTCTTCTTTTCTTTCTTTCTTTCTTTCTTTTTTTTTTTTTTAGGCTGGGGTCTGACAGAGAAACAAGTGAATGATCAAATAGCTAACTTCACACTCTGCCTGAGGCAAGGACTCAGTGGTGGGGAGACTTGAAAGGTGACCCGTGGAGTGGTTCTGGAGACGATTTTGTTTCTTAGAAGAAATTCAAAGCAATGTCTCGGCTAGCCATAGTTTTGAGCTGGGAGACTCCTGCTGCTGGTGGGTCAGGGCCTTTCATTGTGTTTCTTTGTTGAAGAAAGGGAGAGGCCCAAACAGGCTCATTCCTGGTGCCTTAGGAGAGCCAAGCCCAGGAGCTGGAGTCTGCCTTAAGGGTGTGTGTGTGTGTGTGTGTGTGTGTGTGTGTGTGTGTTGTGTGTTGGGGGGGGGGGAGTGGGAAAGGGGGAGCAGAGGAGGAGGATGGGAAGGGTGCAGGTGAAATCCTTGGGAGTCATATTTGGGATCTTTCGAAGCATAGTCAAATCTTGTCACTCCACTGCTCAAGGCCCTGCTGGGGCCCCTGCATCACTCAGAGCAAAACCCAAATCCTGATGCCTGCCTTTCCCCTCAATCACACCCCATCGGCTCTGCCCGACCTCACTCCGCGGCAAACACACACCATCAGTTCTGCCTGACTTCACTCCGCTCCGGCCACCGGGCCTCCTTGCTGAGCCTTGACCCTGCCAGCCGTGCTCTTCCCTTTAGGTCTTGGCCCTTGCTTATCCCTCTGCCGGAATGCCCTTCTCCTGGAGCCGCAGTCCTCACCTCCTTCAGCCTTAGCTCAGACGCCCCCTTCCAGGGACCACTTCCCGAATCAGCCCAATTAAAACCGTAGCCCTGCACCCCACTGCCACTCGCCCTCTCCTACCCCCTACGGGCCCCTTTTTTCTCCTTTGTACTCATTGCATCTGACAGAGCAGATTCTGCTCCTGGGCAAATGCTCGTTCAGCGTCACCACCACTCCCACAGGGAGAGGGCCAGCAGCCTGCACATGGAACCCCGGGCAGGAGGGAGGAGGGCACCAGCTGCCTTGGTTGATGGCTGGCTTTCCAACCTCACAGGTGCCCAGAACAGGCCGCGGAGCAGATGTGTTCCCCCTTAGCTCATGTGTGGATGGGGCTCCGGACAGAGGCTGGCAGTGATCTGCCATTGGGTTCCCTTTTCCTTCTACCTGTGGTCTTGGTGTTCCTTCGCAGCGTTCCCATGGCTCTCCCAGAGCTCAGCGTGTGTGAGGTGGGGGGCGTGTGTGGAGGGTGTCTGTGTGGAGGGTGTGTATGATGGCAGAGGGTGTGTGAAGGTTGTATGGGTAAAAGGTCTGAATATGGTGTGTGTGGTGTGTGTGAAGGGCATTGTATGGAGAGTGTGTAGCGGGTGGGTGTGTGTGTATGGTATGTGTGGAGGGAGTGTGTGTGATATGTGTGAAGGGTGTTTTTGTGGAGGGGGTGTGAGTATGTGTGGTGTGTGAAGGGTGTGTATGTGGAGGGTGTGGGGGGAGGGTGTGTGGGTAAGATGTCTGTATATGATGTGTGTGGTATGTGTGGAGGGGGAATATGTGATGTGTGTGAACGGTGTTTTTGTGGAGGGTGTGTGGAGGGGTGTATGTGGTGAGTGTCAGGGTGTGTGGAGGGTGTGTGTGTGTAGAGGATTTGTGTGGGGGGGTATGTGGGGAGGGTGTATGGGTAAGATGTCTGTATATGATGTGTGTGGTGTGTGTGAAGAGGGTGTATGTGAAGAGCATTATATGGAGAGTGTGTGAAAGGTGTGTGTGTGATATATGTAGAAGGTGTTTTTGTGGAGGGTGTATGTGTATGTGTATGTGTATGTGTGGTGTGTGTCAGGGTGTGTATGTGTGGTGTGTGGAGGGAATGTGTGTGTAGTGTGTATATGTGTGGTGTGTGTGGAGAGTGTGTGTGTGGGGATGGATATGTGTGGAGGGTATGTGTATGTGTGTGGGGAGGGTGTGTGGGGAGGGTGTGGGGAGGATGGGCATGTGGGAAGGGTGTGTGTGCACAGGCATGTGGGGAGGTCAGGAGTGAGTGCACGTATGTAAACAGCCCAGGAGCTCCGACCCCAGCAGGTGCCTGCAGTGAGACAGGGGAAGGGCAGCCAGCCCCTCCCCATCTTCACGCAACGGGTCTTACCCGGGCTCCTCCCCCGGCTGACCTCCCTCTCCTTCTCCCTCTCGCGCAGAGCTCTCCTTCAGGGTGTGGATGTGCGGAGGGAGCCTGGAGATCGTGCCCTGCAGCCGGGTGGGCCATGTCTTCAGGAAGCGGCATCCCTACAACTTCCCCGAGGGCAACGCCCTCACCTACATCAGGTGGGTCCCAGGCCAGGCACCGAGCTGGGAGCCAGCCACTCCGTGACTTTGGGGCTTGGTTCCCCCACAGCCCTCCCAGGTGCTTTCCGGGTGGAAGGATGAAGGTGGGCTGTTGCCACCTGGTCTCTCTGGCCTTGACTATCTTTGTCTTTGAGGGTCTTGGAAAACCAGCCAAATGACCTACTGGGAGCTGGCCCACTCACATGGCACAGGCGCCATGTCCTGACTCTGACTTGGTCAGCGTCTGCCCATCCATATCCCTAGCCACAGCCCTTTTTATACATTTCCACATTACAGTTCATGGAGAGAGAAACAGAGAGAGAGAGAGAGAGAGAGAGAGAGAGAGAGAGAGAGAGAGAGAGAGAGAGAGAGACATGTACACCGTGGGTTTGTGTGTTTATGTAAGTGGGATCCTGCTCTGTGATTTTATGCGGCTTGCTGTTCTGCCACTCACACTGAGTTATAGACATCCTTTCCCGCCAGTGCAGATCCAGCACGGCATTGTTTTCCAGGGTGACCCCGGACCCCGTCATGTAGGAGTAGTTCCTTTTCCTCCACCGATGGGCCTTGAGGTGGTTGCCAACATTTATTAAACAAACATTCTTGTGCACGTCCTTATTGCCCACGTGCAGGTCTGTGGGTGTAATAGATTCCTGGGCGTGAAGCGTCACAGAGCATAGAATGGGTAGTGACAGATTGTTCTCCAGATAGATGGTGCTCATTTACACCATCCCAATCCGTTTTGCTCTGCATCTTCCCCTGAGACTTTCGCCACCCATGGTCTCATCAACGCGCAGAGCTGATCTTGACCCTAACCCTGCCTCTGTCACCGCCGCGGTGACCTGCTTTTGCTCCTTCCTCTCCTTTTAGGAACACCAAGCGCACCGCGGAGGTGTGGATGGACGAGTACAAGCAGTATTACTACGAGGCCCGGCCCTCAGCCATCGGGAAGGCCTTCGGCAGGTGGGCCTCCCCCCGCCCCGTGGGCCTCCCTCCACCCGCAGTAGGGCAACTTCAGCCAGAACACAGCGAGCGGGCACTCCGTGTGCTTAGAATCGGAGCCCCCGCTCCGTGTGCAATGCAGAGACGAGATGCTGGTCCTTGAGGAGGATGTGATCCGTGGGGAGGGATGAGCAGAGAGGGGTGTTGGTGAGAAAGTGTCTGCACGAACTGCCTGCGGGAAGAAGGACATCTGTGGGAGTACCTAAGGATGAACCATCGGCAGAAAGCACCCAGGGCTTTGTCTCCGCCCCCTGTGGTTCCGAATGTGTCTGAGAGCTGTTAGCCTGTTTTCCTGTTTCCAACTGTTATGACTGCAGTCTAGTGAAGCATTTTCAAAACGCAGATCGGTTATGAAATCAATTTAGAGCGTTATCACTAGCATTGTTTAAAAAAAAAAAAAGCGAGAAGGACTGAGAACCCTGTAGACCAGTACAGAACGGAATAGAAAATAACAGGCGATGGCAGTGAGGGTAGTATTGTGGGGTAGTTTGTTTGTTTGTTTGTTTGTTTGTTTTTTGCGAAACTCTTATTTCAGTTATATGCATCTGTGTGTCCACCTAAATGTGCACACAGGGAAACTTGATCATAATGTAAGATGCGTCTATTTCTTACTTAAGGTGGTGGTCAGAATGAATTCTTAGTGATCATCAGTGGCTCTTCCTCCCTCTGTTTAGTTATAGCCGTCTCTTAAAAAGAGTTTTGTCACGGACTGCTTATTTCTGTGGGAGCTAGCATTTATGAGGACCTACCCTGTGCCAGGCACTTACGTCCTTTCACTTATTTGATTCTCGCCAAAGCCTTCCTCGGTGGGTGGTTACGTCTTCTGTTTTCCAGAGAAGAAACGGAGCCTCACCACAGAGGCGGTGAGGGGCGTGTCAGTGGTCGGTATGGTCGGTGTCGCTGAGGAAGGTGAGGAGACCACACTGTGTGCCCACCGACACTCAGGTGGTCTGATTGGCTAGGTTTCCCTCTGCGGCCTGTTCCTCTTGCTGTCAGCCCCTTTCTGCTAAGCTGCAGTGCACAGAAGGCAAACTCGAGTTCACATGGCTCTGCTCTCTGTGGAAGGAAGGGCCTGTGCGGAGGGTATGTGAGATGCTGGCTGAGGGCTCCAGGAGGGAGGAGACGAGACGGAAGCCCGGCCCCCTGTTGGCTGGGCTGGTTTTAAAAGGTGAGCAGGAATTTGAGGAGAGAAATGAGGAGTGGCCAGACTACCTGGGTGAACTCAATAGTCGGAGAATGACCTGAGGCAGGTGGCTGAGGCTGGAGGGCGGGCTGAGACCCAGCCTCCTGGCCTTGGCCCGTGAGGGAGAGACCCTGGCCAGTCCTCCCGGGGGCTTCCTCCTGTGCCCACTGGCCCAAGCCTGAGCCTGGCCTCCTCCTTCAGTGTGGCCTCGAGGATCGAGCAGAGGAAGAAGATGAACTGCAAGTCCTTCAGCTGGTACCTGGAGAACGTCTACCCAGAGCTCACGTGAGTGCCGCCTGCAGCCTGGGCATCTGACCTGGGTGGGGGCCGGCAGCTTGGGGTACCCCCGGCCCCGAGTCTCCCCATCCCGGGCTGTCCGGCTGGCTTTTCTAGCTGTCCACGTTTATCTTCATGGGAAGACTCAGGGGGAGCTGGAAGAATGTTACCAGGAGTTAACAGACTGGGTCTTAGAGCTAGAAACAGACATTGTCTCTTTAGCGAACAGCACTGCATTATGTAGCAAAGGCCACAGAAACCGGCATGCCCGTTCGCTCTGTTCTCTCCCTTCTGGGCATTCATTTTAAGGAAATGAAGCAGCTGAAGCAAAAACAAACTATTGACAAGTACACATTCACTGTAGGTTTCCCTGCTGCTGGGGGAGAAATCAAGGAGCAACCAGCCATGGGAGCTGGGTTCCATGAATCATGACTCAGCGATCTTAAACAAATACTGTGCATCCCTTAACATTTCATTGTAAAGCCTGGAAAAGCATGGGAAACGTTTGCTCTAGCAAATCCGGAAGCAACCTGCAAATGGCGTGTGCACTAGAGCCACTTTTAAAAAACATTATTTATTTATTTTTTAATATATCTTTATTGATTTCAGAGAGGAGAGAAGAGGGAGTGAGAGATAGAAAAATCAATAATGACAGAGAATCATTGATCAGCAGCCTCCTGCTCACCCCCAACTGGGGATTGAGCCCACAACCCAGGCCTGTGCCCTGACCAAGCATTGAACTGTAACCTCCTGGTTCATAGGTCTGTGTTCAACCACTGAGCCATGCTGGCCGGGCTACAGCCATACTTCCTTTCTTATTTCAAAATCCTTTGGGGTGTCTTGGCTACATCCACATTTCCTCACCTCCTTCCCATCTTACTCAAATGTCCCTTTCTCGGGGACCCCTCCCCTGACTCTGCAGCCACCCCATCCCCAGCACGCCTGCTTCATCTTCCTCTGTCGCCCTCGTCATTACCTAGCACACCCCTGGCCAGGTAGTTGTGTGGCCCTCTCCCCACCCTTGGCTGTAAGCTCCAGGAAGGCAGAGGAGTTTATCTGCTTCGCCCACTGCTTTATCTCCAGCCCCTCGAACAGTGCCTGTCACAAAACGGGCTGTCAATAAATAGTTCTGACTGAGTGAATTGCATAGTCAATAAGCCTCCATAATACCTTGGAAATTAGCATTTCTTCCTGCCGTAGCTGTCAGCTTGGGGGGCTGGTTACCACGGCAAGGCTTTCTCCCAGGGATGCCGGGCGGCTTTCCAAAACACGCCACCCCTCAGAGCTTGCATTTCTTTGAAGGGAAGATCAAATTTTTGAAAAACAGCCATAGTTACATTAGAAGCAAGACCAGTGAATAAGCTAGATGGACCCAGATAATATCCTCCTGGACTGAACAGTCCAGGACTGAAACACGTCACAAAAGCAAACGGACACGGGCGCGGTTTCTGAGGAATTCCAGAATCATTTGGGCAAGGGCAGCATCCTCAGAAAAGAGCTGGCAACTCGGATAACGCCAGGCTGCCTGGATGATAGCGGTGAAGGGATGGACGTTAATTTGTAAACGTGTAATAAACGACTTCCCCAAGTGACCACTCCTGAGGGGATGGTTTCATTCAGACGTGTCATTTCTGAGGGGAAAGGCCATTTCTTTACATTCTGTTCGCGTTCACACCGCAAGCGGATGGAGCCATGGACTCCAGGCCTTGGTGGGAACGGGGGAGCCTGGGGAGGAGTCGGGAGGGAGGGGATTGAAGGTGTCCTTCCAGTCCTCACCCCAGACCCCACACAGTGTCCCCCACATCATCCCCCGAGGACCACAAGGAATAAGTATTTTGTCACTGTCAGAAACCTGGATGGATCGATCCCAAGGCAGCCAGTGGATGAGACCAGCTGTGTTAAATGGGGGGCATAAGTCAGCCTCTGTTCTGTCACTGTGTGAGCGTAAAGCGTGATTTACTTAAGGTAGAGACCACACCCCTCATTCATACCCCGGTGAGTTCTCCCCAGTCCGCTGCTCATGCCTCAGTCCTCAGGGGGAGAGGCCAGGGCTTAGAAAGGAGATCGGTTGGCCCAAATGATACCCACTTCCTTCCAAAGGGGATTCTAATATCTGCCCACACGACGGCCGGGGTGTGGGAGAGAAACACTGAGGAAGAGGGAGACCTGGTTTGGCTGTGACCCTATAGGAGGATGTCTGCGCTGAAGAATGCCAGAGTGCTCTGGTGTCCCTCCACCCATCCTCTGCCCAAGTTCTCTTCCCGACCAAGGTGACAGGAGGCAGATAAGGTTAGCACATGGCCAGACTCCAGGCCCTCCTGGTTCCCCATCACCCCCGTGGGTCCACAATCCAAGATCACGTATAACCTCCTAAACCCACGTGTACAGACCTGTGTCTGCTGGGCCGGCACCTTCTTAGGGTTACTGCCCACAGGGTAAGACACTGTGTCTTATGTCAGTGTGTGTGTGTGTGTGTGTGTGTGTGTGTGTGTGTGTTCATGCATATTTTTGCTGTGCATATAAAGTGTTTTAATGATATAGTATTTCGAAATGCCTGTTTTACTTAACAGTATGCTCTGAACACTTGCCCACATTAGCGGATATTTCTTCACGGTCATTTTTAATAGCTAAAGCGTTTCCCATCCTGCAGATGCATCAGATTTCTTTGTCCGTCCCCTATTGTTGGACATCTTCAGGTTTTCAATGTTTTCATGTAATCAGCCACTCTGGTAAAGATGGTCCCAATGTGAGTGTATGTGCCGCTGAAGCGAGCACTGATGAATATATTTTAAACAAAATCTCTGAACACATCTGTGACTACTACCATAGGATATTAAGTTTCCTGAAGTGGGGATGACGAGGTCAAAGGTGTGAACATTTTTGTTGTTGTTAATCCTCACCAGAGGATTGCTGCTTTTCCATTGATTTTTTTAGAGAGATTGGATGGGAGGGGGACAGACAGAGAGAGAAACATGGATATGAGAGAGACACATTGATTGGTTGCCTCCTGCACGAGCCCAAACGGGCACCGGGGGTGGAGCCTGCAATCAAGGTACTCTCCCTTGACCGTAATCGAACCCAAGACCCTTCAGTCTGCGGGCCGATGCTCTAACCACTGAACAACTGGCCAAGGCAAAGGTGTGCACATTGGTAAGGCCTTTGATGCCTAATAGTAATAACACATTGCCTTCCAGAACAGTTAGGCTAATTTGTGCTTTCAACGGCAGCTGAAGGAGATGATCCAATCCCACAGCTAGTGCCAACACTGGGCATTGGTATTAAGTATATATATTTACATGTATACACATTAAGTATATATTATTACATATATACTATATTTTATATGTATATAAATACACAGTATATATACATACTTATGTGGTAATCAAACAGTGCTGTCTAATCTGCACTTCTTTAAGGCTACTTAGCGAAATTGAACACATTTTCATATTTATTTTACCTCGGCCTCTTTAAAGCGCCCGTCCCTGTCGTTTTGAGATTGCTTACTGAGCCCTCGTTCAGGCCCCACCCCTCCTGGGCTCTCCTGGTTCTGGGCCGGGGAGTGCTGCATTTCTGGTCTAAGCTCTCTCTCCGGGGCTCTCCCACACCCAGCCTCCGGGCAGTCCCTGGGCTCCTGGCGCTCCCCAGAACCCAGTAGAGCCCAGGCCTGTCTTCCCCAAGGAATCCCTGCTCCCTTCTCCCCCTTCCTCCCTCCTTGCCAGCTAGGTTTCCCCCCTTTCCCCACCCCCCAGTCACCCCACCCTGTGCTCCTTCCCCTGACACCTCGGTGCCCCAGGAGCTGAGGGGCTGCCCTCTGGGCAGGCGTGGGTAAGCCCTGAGGAGGGCAGGACACAGGCCTGGCCCTCTCTCTCTTCAGGGTCCCGGTGAAGGAGGTGCTCCCCGGCATCATTAAGCAAGGAGCTAACTGCCTGGAGTCCCAGGGCCAGGACACCGCCGGGAACTTCCTGCTTGGAGTGGGCACCTGCAGGGGGTCTGCCAAGAACCCACCAGCACCCCAGGTAAGGGGCTTAGGACCCAGAGTGGGGTGAGGAGCTTTCTTCCGCTTGTGTTCATCCTCTCTCCGTCTGCACCCTCCACAGGGTCCCTGCCAGTTGTCCTCCCACTCTGCTCCTTGGGCCTGTCTGCTCCTGCCACGTTCCCCTCTCCTTTCCAGCCTGAGACAGTGTGACCCTCTGTGCATCGCCCATTGTACCTTACAGAGGGAGAAATGCTGCCCAAACAGTGCCCAGTCTCTCCTGGGACACAGCTGCGGTCAGCTTTTATGGTGGGCAGCAGGGCATCCAGGACACGTGTGCACAATATGAAGGCTGATGCACCCAGGTCATAAACCAGAGCAGATCACGGAGCCCCCGTCATGGACAAGGTTCCTGGCCGCCCTGGTCCTGTGTCCTGTCTTTCTCCTCCACGGCCCTCTGGCCAGCTCCAGCCAACTCCCCTACTATTTTATTATGAAAATTTTCAAACATGTAGAAAAGTTGAGAGAATTGTACAGTGAATATCCACACCCCCACCCCTATTAGAAAATGGTACCATAATATACAGTATATTTCTATATCACATAATCAACCTTGCATCCATTGCTGTACTTTTTTTTTAATAAAATTTTTTTAAATTATCTCAGAGAGGAAGGGAGAGGTAGAAACATCAATGATGTGAGAGAATCATTGATTGGCTGCCTCCTGCATGCCCCCACTGGGGATCAAGCCCACAACCCCTGCATGTGCCCTTGACCAGAATTGAACCCGGGACCCTTCAGTCCGCAGGCCAACACTCTATCCACTGAGCCAAAGCGGCCAAGGCTCCATCGCTGTACTTGTGACTCAGGCTTCCCGGTCCCTGTCTTGCAGGCCTGGCTGTTCAGTGACCACCTCATCCAGCAGCAGGGGAAGTGCCTGACCGCCACCGCAACCTCGCCTGGGTCCCCCGTCGCACTGCAGACGTGCAACCCGAGAGAAGGCAAACAGGTAAGCCTCCTGTCCCTGGGCTCAGGATGGCCCGCGTGTTGGTAGGACAGGCGGTGGTGGTGGCAGCCCCTTGCAGGGGAGCCCCAGGCAGAGACATACTCACATAACCCCCCTCCCCAATGAGGCACTGTCTATGCACGGCTGTGATTTCACTCCTGAGGAAGTTCTTCAGGCAAGGATTTGTTGAACGTCTGCCCCGCCCACTGGGAGTTGAATGAGGGCAGGGACTCTGGCCTCTGACAACCCCACAGCGAACACAAAGGCTCGCCTTTACTCAGAGCTCCGCTGGGAGTTTTCCGTGGACCACCCCATCTAACCCCCTGGCAGCCCCGACGAAGGCTCTAGCACGGCCCATGCTATAGGGGACAAGACCGAGGCTCCCTAAGTCAGACGTCAGTGTTAGCTCACACTGCTGGGGGGTGGGGGGTGGGGGCGGAGCTCAGATTAAAACCCGGGTTAATAAATAAATAAATAAATAAATAATAAAATTTAAAAAGGAGTTTGGGTGGGACTGGGGTGATGAGGACAATTATGTGATACCATAATCAATTTTAAAATAAAAATAAAATGTAAAAAGTAAAAATAAATGAATGAATAAAACCCGGGTAAGTGATGCTTAGCCCACAATCTTTTTCTTTTTCTTTTTAATATATATTTTATTGATTTTTTACAAAGAGGAAGGGAGAGGGATAGAGAGCTAGAAACATCGATGAGAGAGGAACATCGAGCAGCTGCCTCCTGCACACCCCCTACTGGGGATGTGCCCGCAACCAATGTACATGCCCTTGACTGGAATCAAACCCGGGACCTTTCAGTCCACAAGCCGACGCTCTATCCACTGAACCAAACCAGTTTCAGCTTAGCCCACAGTCTTAGCCCAACACATAGTAGGTGCTCAGTAAGTATTTCTGGACTGCTGGCTGACTGGGGACACAGATGCAGCGTGATTTCCAACTTGTCCTGCCCGCCTCACTTCCTCCTCCATCCAAGCTCTTCCAAAATGATCTATGGGAACAGCCCTCCTTTCCCTTGTCAAGCCTAGGGAAGAGGAGGCCCGGGAGGTGAAGGCCCTGGCCCAGGAGGCCCTTCATGACTCCTATGGGACTCGGGGGTGGGGGGGGGGCTCCATCCCGCTGCCTCACTCCTTCCTCTCTGCGGAGGTGGCGGCCAGTTCCCACTCACGGGGGTAGGTACCGGGTGCACAGCCAGAGGCCAGGGAGAAGCTTGGAGCTGCGGGAAGAAGAAATCCCGTTCGAAGGAGTCACTGGTCCAGGAACTCGAGCTCAAGAGTCCCCAGGGAGCAGCGGGGAAGCCCAGGCAGGGCCCAGGTGAACTGAGGTCACGGTCCAGGGACAGCCGAGCGGCTCCCTCAGCCCCAGGCAGCCACGAAGGTAGGCTGGAAACGCAGATTCTTCTGTGGCCACTAAGCCAACTTTTAAATGAACGCCGTGCAGGCCAAGCAAAACACATCCCCGGGTTAGATTCAGCCCGCGCGCCTCTGATCCAGACACCGACTTCGTGCCAAACTCCAGAACAAGCGTGCATTGGGAGGCTCAGCCCCATGAAAGGGACACACGGCCTGTGTCCACCAGGGCAGGGGTGTCCTGGGCATAGGCAGGGCATTTACCTACATGTGCAGCGAAGGTGTGAGTGTGATTCTTAACATTTAATCACTGTTTTTCTCCTTCTCCGCCTTCCCTGCTTCTCCCCCCAGAGATGGAGGAGAAAAGCCTCTTTCATCCAGCACTCGGTCAGCGGCCTCTGCCTGGAGGCCCAGCCCACCCAGCTGGTGACCAGCAAGTGCCAGGCCGACGCCCCAGCCCAGCAATGGCAGCTGTTGCCGCAGCTGCACACATGACGGCAGCCCGGGGCCTCCTGGACCTTCTGCATGAGAAGACTTTGGGGCTGGAAGGGGGTTGGGGTGGGGGAGTGTAAAGCGGGCCGTCTCCATCTCCTCACATTTCTGCCGGAACCATCAGCAAACGCCCCTGCCATGAGGCACCATCCCCGTGCACAGGGCGGGCCTGGGGGGCGGGCCTTGATGCCCAGGCTGCCCACCCGCCCTCCCCCCGGGAGAGAAGGAGGTCAGGGTGCTGGGCCACTGCTGGTAGAGACGGGGCAGGTGCCCTCCCACCTGTATCTCCTCCCTCCCCCTTCCTGGGGGCCCGGACGGTGGTCTGGGTGCCCTCCCGTTGTCTGATCAAGGACAGAAGCCCATGTAGGGTCCCCACTGTGTCACAGGGCCTGCTAGTGAGGTCATGGCAAGAGAATGTAGGTGGCCTGGATGGGGAAACTGAGGCTGGGAGCAGAGGGGCCGCCTGCAGTGTGGGTGGAGAGCCAGAAGGATGTGAGTAGCTCAGCGGCCTGTCCCAGGCAGGGGCTGGGCTGGGTGTGGGGGGGATGGGGTCGGGAGCAGAGGATGGGTGCTTTGCAGAAGGACGTGGACAGGAGAGCGGCACAGCGCCCAAAGTGTGGGTCTCTTCCGGGGACCCAGCCTCCCAGACCGCACCAGCCCCGGGCGCTGGGCCTGCCTCCACCCTATGCTCTGGTCCCCGCTTCTTAGAAAGAGGCTGCCAGGCTGTCTGCTGGGGCAGCCTTGGGACACTGTCTGCTCAGCAGCTCCCACGTCTGTTTGTCCACGTGTCAGGACCAGACGTCTCCCTTCGGGCCTCCCTGGCCCGCTGGCACCCGTGCCCCTTGTCTGGGCCCACCATAAAGACCCGTAAGGACAGGCAGCCACCATGCCGCGCACCACCGAGCTGCCCCATCCTCGTTCGCAGTGCCACCTGCCTTCTCCAAAGCCTTCGCCTCCGTAAACAGAGCCGGATGGAATGGGGGTGGCCCATGAGAAGGGGACCTCCATCTGGAGCACTGGGGTTCCCCAGTCATTAGGGAGTAGTAAGTCATCCAGGCTCAGCCTCATGCGCCCCCACCGACACCCTCCCCGCAACACACACACTTCAGGAGGGAGGCCCCAGGAGGGCAGTCATTGCAGTGGGCGGAGGCTGGCTGGTGACTCCCTGACTGTGTAGAGAGGCCCCTGGGACTTCTCACAGCCCACGGCCTGGTCTCGGGACCACTTCTGTTATTCCCCGTGCTCCTTCCTCTTCTCCCACCCACTGGCTCCGGCAGTGTGATCTTGGGCAAAAGACTGGGGGTGCCAGGACCCCTAGTAGTCCCCCTGCCAAAGCAGACCAGCCTGAGACCAGCCTTGGGAGTCCACGGATTCCAGAGGGCCTAGGAATCTCCCGAAATTGCCCCCCAAGTCGTGCATGTGTGTGCATCGATGCATTTCCCAGAGGAGAGTGTCCTTGGACTCCCCCAGCTCCTCACAGAGGCCGTTGGCCCCGAACGGGTCTGAACCCCTGTTCTGGATTGGAGCCACCATGCCCATCTCTCTCCCTGGTGCGCCTGAGCTGCTGTCGCCTGCTCCCTCCATGCAGCCCTTGGGGCCAGAAGCCAAAGGTCCCTGAGCCACAGCACCCACCCGGAGGGTTCTCCGTGGTTTTCTCTCACCTCCTGGCTCTCCCTGGCATCCGCTCGGCAGTGTTCCTGTGCCCCAGCGTGTACCCCATGGTCTCCCATCCTCTGTGGCGCTGTTTCGTCCGCCACCATCCCCGTGGTGCGTGCTCACCCTGGCGGGCAGCGTGGACCTTTGGGGCCGGGGAGCGAGGGCTTCTCCTGCGTGTAAGAGGACTGCAGCTCAGAGCGTCTCGGCAGGGCCCCTCCTCCCTGTCAGCCCCCCTTGGTGGGACTCAGCCCTGTTCTGTTTCCTGCTTTTCCTCTTCTCGACCAAAGCATGTGCCACTCGCTGCCCTTGAGGACCTCGTCTTTACGAAACACACACACACGGAATAAAACCACTTCTCACACTGACACGTGCTCCGGCGCCTTTCTGAGTCCAGGGTGGAGCCCCTCAGCGCCACCCTCCCCTGCCTCGGAGGGAAGTCGGGGCCTCTATCAAGCCTCATCCCCTCCCGCACCCGAGAGCTTGCTCCTTGGCCTACCTACCTGCCCTATCGAACCCTGGGACGCCTGGGCGACAGGCTGGCTGCTCTGGGGGGAGCCAGCAGGTGGCCCTGCTGCTGGGGCAGGCTGGGACCAGGCCCTGGCTCCTGTGACCTCTCAGTAAGAGAGACACTGCTTGGGGTTTGAATGGGAAACCGAGGGGCTTCTCCGAAGGCTTGCCTTTTGCCTGCCCTCTCCTTCCCTGAGCACCAGCCCCAGCCCCTCTCCACTGCCCTCCGCCTCCGCCACACAAGAAGGCAGCAGTAAAAAGGCAGGCGGGACCATTTCCAGGGTAGAAACAGTAAAATAATTGCCGAAAGAGTCCTCCCAGCCTACCCTTGTTTGATCAGGCAGCAGATGCTCTGCCTAACATTTCCATGGGAACCAATGGCAAGCCCCTGCCATTTGGATGATCAGAAGCTGAGCTTAGCCAGGTAGAAATAAACACTTCGGTGCCCTCATGAACTGTAGTGGCCAGACCAGTGGGAGACTCAACCTCTCCTGGATGCAGCCATTTCTGACCTTGTCCCCACCTTGGCTCAGGACTGCTCGTCTGGGTTCCCCAGAACTTATGACTCCCAGGCCCGAGGGCCTGGAGCAGAGAGCTGGCTGGTGCCCAGTCTGAGCACACAGCATGGCTGCAGAGCCCAGCGTGGGCTAAGCTGGGCAAAGATGGCAGTCTCCTGCAGGACACTGGCTGCAGTCTGTCCATCGTCTCTCCTTTCGAGGAGCACAGCCCGCTGCCCAGCACCTTCGTGGGCATCCCTCCTGGCCAGGCTGGACCAACTTCCCACGTGCGTCTGTTTCACTCCCACCTCGCAGGGCTCTGGTCCTGCTTCGCCAGAGATACGCTCCTGGCTCCTGCGCTTCTCCAAACCTGCCTCTCAGGCCTGTTTTCTCTCCCACCCCACTCCCCTTCTTTTTCCTGGAAACGAAGGCTGCTAGCCTTTAGCCAGCTCCTGGAGGACTCGGCAAACGCCCTCCGGCTGGCCAGTAGCAACAGGCCTAGCATAACCGGACAGGATAGAAAAGCAAGCCTCCCAGCGCACCTGAGGGCGGGAGGGACACTATGAGGTCAACCTCCAGCTTGTCCAGCGGGGAGGGCTCCCTCCCTCCCTGGGCCTCTGAGGCTTGGCTGCTGTTTTCACGAAGACTCTTCTCTGGCCCCCTCAGGCCTGCGGAGGGTCTTCCAGCACTGAATGGGGGTTGGTCCTCTCCCACCCGGCGAACAGGACAGGAAACCTGGACTTCGTAACGTCCACAGTTTCATTCCCGACTGGGTTCTCAGCAGCAGGTATTTGTGTGTCCCCTTCGAGGCTCTGAGTCAGTTTCCTCCAGAAGGAGGGGACCCAGGCAGCTTCTCTCATCTTAAGAGGCCTTCACTGCCAGGCACTTAGCAAAGACCGTGAGGCAGAACAGGGAGGGGCTCCCTCCCCTCCCAGGCTGAGGGACTGAGACCCTGGAGCCACCTGAGAACAACCCTCTGCTGCAGAAGTGTGGGAAGAGGGTCTTAGGAGTATGGACTCCAGAGACCCGATCATTGAGGATGGATCCGTCCCACTCTGCCAGTTGTGTGGTCTTGAATAAGTAATTTCCTTTCTCAGCTTCAGTTTCCTCACCTGTAAAATGAGTATGTGTTGTGGAATGAGTGAATGACCACTGGAGTCCAGACCATATTAAAATTTAGGGAGCCTTTAATAGCCGGCCTGCAACTGCTCTCTCTCTCCATGCAGGGAGTCCAGGGAGCAGCCCCGACCCTTTGTGAAGGACAGTTTTATTTTGTTTTGTTAAATATATTTTATTTATTTATTACAAGAGGAAGGGAGAGGGATAGAGAGCTAGAAACATTGATCAGCTGCCTCCTGCACACCCCCACAGGTGTTGTGCCCGCAACCAAGGTACATATCCTTGACCTGAATTCGATTCTGAATCGAATCTGGGACCTTCAGTCCGCAGGCCGACGCTCTGTCCACTGAGCCAAACCGGTTTCAGCGTTAGGACAGTTTTTAAACACATTCACTACATCCTGCTTTTGCAGAGCAAACAATTTAAAACAAAGCAGTTTTTCTTAAGTAACATCAGCATGTTATTTACAGGGTCCTGGCACCTGTTGGAGTCAGTAACTGCATCCTGTTCTCAGGAAAGCTGACAGTGATCTGTGAAAGAAGGCCTACGTGCTGGGAAGGGGCCATGGGACCGTATCTCAAGGCCTGGCCTGGTGTCAGCACTGACAGCTCTATCTGGGGCACAGTCCACAGCCTCTCTAGAAGCATGCTCAAAAATTCCCACTCTCCAACAGGTACTCACAGCCTTAGAGGGTTTTTTTGATTTATTAATGACTACAAAGCACCCAGCCCTTTCTCTCCCTGCTTAGTAGACAAGCGTCATTGATATTGTTACTAAACATTGTTTGAGTGCCTGTCCCATAACTATAATAGACACTTTGCTAGGGGCAATGACACAAATGTAAATAAGACAATTGTCCCTGCCTTAAGAGCTAAGATTCTATCAGGGGAGATGGACAAATGAACAGGCAACCATCACACCACATGACAGAGACTACGGGAAGGCAAGAGCTATCAGAGCAGCAAGGTGGGGGCCAGGGAGTCCTGATGCTCTGGCTGGGAAAGGGGGGACTGCGTGAGGATGGTGAGGTCAACTGGCCGGACTAGCCAGCTGGCAGCTCAGCGGGCCAGTGATGAGCAGCCTGGGCTTTCCTCCCCAGTGCCCCCAGCATCAGGGTGGTGTGGACCCGTCTGTGATCATAGAAGGAAGATTCTAGAAGGGAGCTCTGGGAGCCACTTAAACCCAACCAGACACGTCTTCTGCTTCTGGAGCCAGCGACAGGTC